CATGATGAGTAGAACTATCCCAGGAATAACATTATGTGAAGTATTTCGATATAAGGTTAACGGCTCCATTATATGAAGTATGGGGTTTTGGAAATCCTGTTGAGTGCCTGGAATACTATTCTTTGAAGAATATTGCTACAACCAGAGTACTATGATGTTAAGAGTACTTTTGTATGTGCAATATTGACATTCAAGGAGTGGTATTCTTAATGGAGCACTATTCTATAAAGTGGCTGGATATTCCAGGAGAATTATCGGCTAAGGAGTGCTGATGTGTATTCATTTCAAATAGTGAAAATTGTGAAAGTTCCCGTGATACTGTTATATGAATGTACTAATGGATGAACTATAGTGATATTTCCAGAGTACTGTTGTCTGTAAACAACAACCGCCTAAGAATAATGGATCATCTGGAGTCATATTCTGTGAGCCATCTCACGTGTGCGTAGTCTTCTTATTTGCAAAGCAGAACTGTGCAATGATGATGCCTGTCTCCCAAGCACGATTATTTGAAGGGTTTCGATATACACAATGTGCTTTTATATAGGGGGCACTATTTTATTAACCGTAAAAATATATCCGCAGTAGTATATAGTGACCTAAAGGTATGTCCCCCGAAGATTACTTTGGGGTGGATGAAACATTGGACGTCTCGTTATTGGAATAAAAGCATTTTTCCTACTGAAATGATGTCTTCTCATTTGCGGTAACTTATTTTTGAAGGGGTTAGAATCCCGCCTGTACTATAAGGACATCACAGTTTTACCAAATCCTGTGATGTATCTGCCGTAGCATTATTTGAGAAAAGGCAACATGATAAGAGGAGTATTATATGCAGAGTATAGTTTCCCCTGGGATATCATTGGTGTTGATAAAATTAATGTTACGAGAATAGCTTTGACAAGAGCATACGAATATCGCTAACATCCAAGCCACCTATCATTTTAGGAGGAGGAGAAGAAAAAAATGAAGTAAAAAAAATGCCCCAACTGAAGTTTATACATTGAAGCTACTACGAAATTAAACAGAATTCTCTATTTCAGGGGAAAGATAAATATATATAATAAAACCATATAAATGACTTAAAAGTATCAACAGGAATGGACATGAAACAGCAACCCAACATGCAAAAGAAAAGTGACACCCTATAACCAAAGGGACAGAGCTAACTTAAAGAAGAAGAGTACCGAAAGCAATGTTAAAACAGAAGAAATCAACCCAGAAGCAGTGAACATGGACAGGAGAGAGGACACTTACAGTAACATATGAGGTGGGATATTCACGGGGCTCAATACCGCATCAAATAAGAGGGGAGTTGATTGCCAACATTCGTGTGTCAAAATACACGCCATTATTCGAAGTTAGCGAGAGAAATATATAAGTACGAAATTTCTTACATATATTAATTCGTGTTCTAAACTTTTTCCTGTTTGTATTGAGCGTGATGGCTTGAATTACAAACTCTACAATATTATTTCACGTCCTAGGATGTAATATCCTATGATACCCTTTCTGATGTTATACATGAAAATATATAATGGTTTAAAATAGATTTATTTCTTCTTTGAAGTTTCAGAGGCTTCCTTAAGAGCTATTTTGTTCTTGTAAAGATATAACACAATTTCTGGTGTGACTTCTGGATGAGTTACCACCTTCGGTGTCTCTACGGTTAGTGTAAAGGTGTCCCTTCTTGCTGTATCTAGAATCGTAATCATAACATATCTATGTTGACTGCATGGGTCACTACTGGTCAAGGGTCTAACATGAAAGCTCTGTTCTTACCTGTATATTCTGTGTTGCCCTGATTTCGAATATAAGGATTCCAATTCTTTGGATGGCAATACTCACAAGACTTTTATTTTACTTCTTTCTATTCCATTGCAATGTATGAGCAAAGTGGATATGACAATAACCTCTTAATTTTGAGAAGTCCTCCCCCCTTTTATCTATAGCAGTATTTTGACAATGGGAAGACTCATTGAGAATGAATAAAAGCAATAAGCCGCCCTTTTACTCATGTAATGTGTGGATAGGTTGCGCCAGAGTGTTATATATAAATCCACGGTTCATGTCATAAGAATCCCGAGTAACCAATCATGTTAGAAAAAAATATGCCCCGAGAAGGAAATTATATATGAATTTAAAAAGGACGGGTTGGACTCAAAATGGAAAAAGGAGAAAGTAACGGTTATTCCTAAATAGAATGAAACCTGGGGAAGAATATAGACATCAGGAAACGAGCAGAATGTAGAGGAGAAATATAAAGGTGGGGAGCCTACCCATAAGCCTTGAGCGCCCCCATACACGAATACACGAACAAAGAAGTGCATCTTTAGACGTAAAACTACATTTAGAAGAGGTGCGAAGATTAGAATGTGAGCTGAACATATGTTCTTTTAAGGAATTATTCACAACTGAAATTCGTATTTCAATAAATTTAATAAAAAATCCAAACTATCATACTTTAAATTGAAAGTTTTCATCAAACGCCACTAAGCCTACACTACAGTATATGTTGAGAGCCTCCAAGCTGCGTATGAAGCCCAATGGATTGTTCCATTCCGGCAAAGTAGAATTCTTTCGAAGCCACAGAATATGGAATTAGTCATATCCGCGAAAACTCCAAAAGTTAAGGATCATATATGAGTTGACAAGACTTTAATATTCGCGCGCTTTATTAAGAGCGATTCTGAAGACATTCTGTGGTAAAATTTATGAGTTGTATCAAGTCTTATTACCAAACAATCCTGTAAAAAATATTTGAAACTCCCGCCCATAGCATAGCAACAGCTAGGTTGGAATAGTATGAACTGCTATACTCTATATATCTGACAGCCTACAACAGCAGACTGATTTACTTATGAACTAGAAGATGTGGAAGATTTTCCCCACCTCACTTTATCGAAATTACTATAAAGGAAAAACTTGGTCACTACACCTCCTTATGATTCCGTAAATGTCTCACAAGAATAATCCCTCCAGAGTGTAATTAATGTGATAGAAGTATTCTTCTCAATCACTAAAGTAATTGTCCTAAGAAATATATCATCTCCTTAAGGAATAAAATATCTATGGATTAAGCTAAAAAATAACTCTGGGCATGTTACGAGGGTATAGGATTTTTTTATTTATTTTTTACACGTATTAAGAGAGGGTTCATTTCCTATTTCATCTCAGCTTCCCATCTTCTTCTGTCATTTTAACTTTAAAAAGTCAGCACGAGAGTATATTACCTACAGGCACCCTTATTCTTTAGGATTGATTAACAGGAAGAGGGTCATATAACAGAAATCCAGGAAGATTTTATCGGCATAGTGAATGATTGGATTTATTCCGATTATTTGTTTATTCCTTTCTCTCGTTCGGCTAATATTTAAGCAGCGAGAATGAGGAGAAGGAAGATCTACAATTATCCGTGGTTTTGTAGTCCAAGAAATAAGAATCTCGTGATATATTTCCTATGATGCCCACCGTATTAAATAATGAAATCATTATAAAAGGTATAATTAGTTCTTTACCAGAGGATATAATGGTATATCCCTCATATTATGAAATCACCAATCTATAATAACAAGATTAAAAATATTAAAGTAAAAAAAAAAAAAAGTGCTATAACCGAAAAACCAGCAGATTAATGTCTCTAAGAACCCATAAGTATTATATGATATGAATGTACATTAATAATTAGTAAAATTCTAAAGTTAATAGATAAAACAGGAAAATTGTCTAGTGTTCTATCCTAATCTGGATTAAATTTCCAATAGTGCCTAGAGACACGCCAAAAATCCCCCGGGCCAAAATCATGTAATTAGGTTACTAAAATAATAATTGTGGAATGATTATGAACTCCAAAGCAGATCTAGGCAGAATCAATTCCTCCCCAAGCCCTTATAAATTATAGAAAAAGATATAAAAGGAAGATTTAGTCCTTAACTCTCTTTATCCACTCGTAATAACCTCCCCTATATAGGAGGTCGTATATATGAGTTCCTGAAGTAGATCTGATAATCACATGCACTCAGGGAATTTCTTAACATCTCTATTAAAAGAAGGACCCCAGTGAAGCATAAACTAGCCGCGCCTTATGTTATTAACCCCCACCTCCAGAGGAAATATTAATCTGTCCTATAGCATATATGGAAAAATGGAAAAATTGTTTAATTTGTATAAGAGACGCAAGACTAATACAAAAATTAATATCTAAGATAAATGCAAGGTAGGAAGATAAATGAACAGGAACAAAGGTTTAACATGTGTCACAAAACCAATCCAAAACTCCCTCCCGTGAATATAAAGAAGTTATAGGAGTTCGACAACCTGACGGCTAATAGGAAAGGAAAATACTAAATAAAGATATCCACTGAGTCTTAGTACTAACCCACAGACCAAAATCCCGCACCCTTCAGACCACACAAAACTAAGGGTCCAATGCAGTATATCTGAAACGGGAATAACGCATGAGGACGTAAGAAACCTTCAATTCAATAAATACAACCATACCCAAGAGACTTTATCCGAGAAAACTGTGAGTGAGATTAGCGGTTAGCTTAATTATCCAAGAACGAGAAAATCGTACTATTATCATTATACCCCACACAAAGCAAGTCAAGGAAGGCCAAAATATGGACCCAACTTCAAAGGAAGAGAAAAAAGACTAGAGGCAAAAATTAATTCATGATAACAAGGGCACCTCACAGAGGGTCCCGAAACGTATCCAAGTAACTAAAGTCTCCCCAACAGTGTAGAAGCATTATCATCCCACCTGAATTCGTCTTAATTCCACAAATTCGAATGAGGAGTTTCACAACAGAAAAAGAAAGAAAAAAATGACAAAGAAGAAATGGGAAGATGAGAGTCAACAGCCACAGATCGAAAGACGACACATTTAAATGAGTCCAAAAAAAAGCGTGGATTCAGGTGACTCTGCTTCTATTCAGGACTCCTAACCCCCCCTCACAAGATAGAGTTCGACGAGGTTCATCTAACCAGAACCAATAGAAATGGCACAGAAAAGAATACTAGCCCCAACCCAATTACCAAATCCCAAGACGGATGAATCACCCACAACAAAGTCTCTAAGCGTCAAACTCTCCATATTGCCCTACACACAAGACAAACTAGTCCTAGACAACCCCCAGAGCCAAAAATCACGTATCCAAAATCCTTCGAAGGAACCTGGGAACTCTAATCTTAATGACCCCCAGAAGGAACGCCCATAATATCGGAGAATAGCATAAATAACGGCAGATCCTCCCTAGCAACATAGAATAACCCAGAATCAAGAAACATAACTGAATCAAAAGAATCAAAAGCTAAACCCAAGAACGAACACGACAAATCGGTACATGGAGAAGCAAATAAATCCAGGAAGGATCTATCAAAGCCCAATATCTGAGTCAGAGTAGGAAAAAACCCCCAGAAGATAAAGATCATATCGCCAGATCAATTAAGAACCTCGCACCCAACAGCAGATTCAATATCCATCACTCGGCCACTTCCCCCCACCCCCATCAACCCAAGTAGAGTGACACCAGAACCTATCAACCTCAGGAAAAGGCCCCCCCGACGAAATCGACATAGCAAACCCGAAACCCACCGTAACGAGACAACTCAACGAGCCAGTAGAATATGAGCTACAAATAGCAGAAGTCTCTGAGAGGACAGCACCCAACACAAGTCCCCTCGCACACCACACACTACCCCCCCACACACCTGACAAAGTTAAGAAGGAAGGAACAAGGGCCACCCACGCGTAGAAACAAAGGCACCAACGACCATTAGACTAAAACCCCCAATAACGCAACAGAAGTAAGCGAACGATTCAGAACCCGAAGCCGCCACAATACAAGAGAAGAGTAGAAGTCTCCCCCATGATTAAGAACCAGAAACCCAGATAACGGATGCAAAAACCGAGACTGAAGGGGACACCTCCTCCAATTCCTCCTAAACGACGAGCACTTAACCCAACTCTTTCTGATCTTAAGAAAGAAGAATCCGGAAAGCATAGAAGCAAAAGGAAACTCAGGCATTTCTCTTCTGAGGATAATAAATAAAGAGGAAAAAGACAAGAACTACAAGTCCTGTCCGCTCCAACAGTTAATGAAACACACATACGAAACTGACTCTCCATCCAAGGGGATGATCCAACTGCATAAGAGTCATAAATGACTCAAGAGACGAAGCCGACACCTGATCCCCAAGCGTAAATTATTCCAACAAACTCCTAATCACAAGGAAGAAAAAAGTAACCCTACCGGAACACTGATGAGAAATATAAAGACACCCACCCAGCCAAAGCGAACAGGGCTTCCCAACAACAACGCGCAGGAATCCTTAAGGGGCGGCATAAAGACCCTAAGTTAAGACAGAATCAAATAGAGCGGAGATGAATAACAAAAGGAGGAAAAAAAGACTCTGAGTAAGAACTCACGCTAGAAAAACAACAGTAACAAAAAGTCACACAGCCAAGTTGAGCGAGGACAGATAAAGGGAAGGTCCCTCACAGGAGAGATATCTCCAGGCATTAGCATCAAGCTGATCTATCAAACAAGGGGGGTAGATAAAATAGAGCCAAAAGTCTCCCGATAAAAACGACCAACGATAAAGTCAAAGTATAAAATGGCAAGACTCAACACTCCCTCAAGTGAGGTGACCAAAGACGAAGCAAACCTCCCCAAGGACCTACTTTAGCCTGAGTAAGAAGAGGAGGACAAAGACCAGCGATATCCAGTACATCATTAGGCCAGAACGACTCCCCTGGTAGGACAAAGCCTCAGGTGAACTAACTGCCCAAAGCCAACCACCTAGCAGTCCACAAGATGAACCGATCGCAGTAACCACTCAAGTAGCTTAACCTCTCAAAGGATACTGAATAGGACCCATTATGTGCCCATAGAAAAAAGCCAAATCCCTAACCCGTGCAAGAATCCAAGCTACTGGCCACCTCCACAAGGATCAGACTATAACACCAAGCCTAAGACAAGTTCTCATGAGAGTCCCACCTCACCCAATCGCCTACGACAGCTCCAGACGAAAAAGATAAGACAGACGGGCAACAACCCCTGGATCATAAGGATGAGCTACCTCCAAACCCAGGATATAGGGCGTAACAACTCTCCTCCGGGACGAGTAAAATGGACACTTCAGAATATCAGAACTGAGAGTGGCGGGCAACCTAAGGAAGCAGTCAGAATGACAAAGGGCCAACCGAACGACAAAGAGGATATGAACCCAAAGATGAGTAGCGCCCCCTCCCTAAGTCAGGATCGGAACCTTCCGTGTACGCATTCAGTGTAAGAATGACCAAGTAGGAAGAGAAACAGCAACAGAAAAATAAGACTCAGCCCTAGAAACTAAAACTCAAGAACACCAGGTAGGAACTGAGGAGGATGAGCAATAATCCAAACCCAACAACAGATCCTACCACAGTACTAACCAGATAAAGGCCAAGTCTAATTCGGGAGTCAGCAAACTCCCAGGGGAACAAGAGGCAGCTTTAACGGGGAACCTCCAGAACAAGAACTACTGAGCAAACAAAAAGAAAGAGGAAAAGTTAGATCGACTGGATCTCCCTGGATCGAAGTCGCAAAAGAAGGATGCCAAGAAATTGCGTAAGGCTCCCCACCCAAACAGGAACCTGAAGTATTCCTAGCGTAAGGTCATGATGACGGGGGGGTCAAAGTGACACCTGGTTTAGGGGAGGAATTAGATTATGGAGCAAGTCTGAAAGAAGGAGGCACCAGCATAATGAGTCAAGGGGAAGGCATCCCTGTGCCTATCGCTATTACCCCAAATGTCAGGACAAGATGGAAGGTACTGAAACATCAGGGGAAGCCCTCAAGGCTCTGGGGACAAAGGAAGCCGCCCATCAGATCACCCCGAAACAGAGGACAGAGGACTTCGGACAAATAAGAGTAGATCAGAGAGTCCAGGAAGAAGGCCGTTCATGACAGGCAAAAAAGGAAGAGCTAGAAGGACGCAACAAAAGGACCCAAAAGGGGAATCCAAGGAGAGATCAGAGAGAAGATTTACCTCCACCGAGTCAACGGAGGAGGACGCTAGCACGTCGGGCGAAGGAACGGAACTAAGGTAATGGACTGAATAATCCCAAGGAAGGGGTATAGAGGTCTAGGGACCCCCGGATTTAGAGAGAAACGGGCATCAAATTCTAATCTCTTCCCCGGAATATATGGGAGTCCCCACCCGACAGAACAAGTATCCCATCCCATCAGAGAAGCCAGATAAGACAGATCTCTGGACAACAGATACAGGAGGGGAAGAGACAAAAACATCACGCCCAACTCAACAGCCGAGGCTAATAATTTCCTCAATACCACTCTGCAGCTGAGTCCGACAACTGTGTTAGGAACAAAGGACATCCCAAGGATCCCACCCCGAAGCCAAACACGTGGAAAACCGCAGAAGCCAAGCAGGAACATCTGAGGCCCCACCCTCAAGGACACGAGGAAGAAGCAGTAGGTCAGAAGAATCATATACCTGTGGCCATAGGGGAGTTGAGCCTGCAACACATATTTCATGAATGGTCCACCACAGGACATGTGAATATTTCTGAAGCAAGGACATCTGCATCAGATTCAGGACGAATCGTAAAATAAAGAACCCCTGACTCAGAGACATCACTACTTCCGCAAGTGAAGCCAGGTACCTAATCTGAGATTAAGAGAGTTTCCACTTCACCTCAACCCCCAGGACAGGGAAGAGTCGGATTAATCCTCAATATTCACACATCCTCTTGGAAGTTAAGGATTGACTCCCCAGGCCTGACAGTCTGTATGGAAGTGGAATCGATTATGCCTGCCATAACGACTCCAGCCACGGAGCAGCTAACCGCCTCAGAAACCGATCAAGCTCCATCGAGAAGAATCTTAAGTTGCAATGGGGGGGTTAACACTGAAAAAGGAAGAGAAAACCTGGTTAGTAACCCCAGCCAGTGGGGGAAGGGCACCTTGTCGGAAAGGATACCACAGGTATTGTTTAGGGAGCTATCGAAGCCAGGATACAGCTCAGCCGGGGTTTATTGGGCGGTGGGGTAGCGTAATAATCTCCAGGCTGAGTAAGTCCAGGTGGCAGCACGTGACAAATGAGAAGTCGGAAATGGCTCAGGCACTATTAGGAGCGGGCGTCCTCCAGGAAGAATGGCAGGGCATAGTTCAGTGTGTCATGTCTCATGCCCTATCCTTAAACCGAATAAAGGTGAAGGGCAAGAAGAAGGAAGTGGAGGTATGGAATAGGAGTCTATGGAGCGGAATATTCAAGACCGGGGTAGGAGACAGCTGGGGCAGTAGTCCATCAGGACAGGGCATGTTAGGGGCCTTGGCATGTCTGATGGTTGCTCTTATGGGATGGCCACGAACCGAATCTGGTCCCTCCCAAAAGATTATTTCAGACTGTCAGGAAATCTGGGACATTGTGGGACTGGACCTGACAGCGAAAACTCAAAGAGCGAGACCCGAACAAGGCGCGACTATGGAAGACTTAGTCCAACGACTAGGAAACCCCGACCCCATCGACTCCAGCCAGTACAACAAGTTAGGCCTTATTTTGAGTATCTATTCTGGGATGAGGAAATGCTGTAACTATAGAAAACATTATGATCTGACCAGCCTTATAACAAAAGGAGAAGAGGAGCTCACTAAGCTTGGACAGTGTATTATGACCAAGGAGACATTAAATTGTGAGGGAGGAACAGGCAAGGATGAAGGGGGATATCTAAACCTCTGGACCAGAAGCATGAAGTCACTGAGTAAAGCTACTCCTAAACCTCCCCCCACCCAGGTCAAATTAACAGAGACGGAAACCAGGAAGGAGCTAGCAGCAACCGCCCCCAGGAACCAATATAGCACAAGCCACGAAGCAACACTCCTCAACTGGGCAGCCGACACACTGGCGAACCATCCGGGCCAAGAATCCTCTCGAAGAGGAATACAAGTCTTACAACAGTCCCAAGCTAAGGCTAAAGAAGTAGCAGATCGGACGAACCAAGATGGAACACCAAGGGACCAAGTCGGCCCCCCTGCCGAGCTCACCACCGGCTCCTCAGTAGCAGACCCTCCGCAAATCCATCCTGCCCGACAGTCCCACCCGCCTCCAGCACCTGAACAACTGACCAAAGGGACTATATATGCAGGCAGCCCACCCAAAGCCTTAGGAACTCCCGCTCCCTCGGCAGATAATCCAGTTAGGACCAAATCCCCGGTTCCTACACCACTACGGGAGGGCGTGTCAGGCTTAGATCCTCCCAGCAAGGAGCTATCAGCCCCAAGAGATGAGCGCCCACACTCCGAGTCAGTGAAGCTCGGTTCAATAATAGGGGGAGTTTTGGGAGGTATATTAGCCTTGGCGAGTATCTACGGGGTATCCAGGGTATATCTCCTGATGCCAAGAACCTCGTCGAGGGCACACGCTTCCGTAACAGGGGAGAGAAGTAATATTGGATATGGGAGCAGCACTGACCATTAGGAGTGGCTGAACAGGGGGAACAGACCCTTCTCACTCAGATCTGCCCAGAGCATGTGGGGAAGGATAAACCAAGAAGAAGAGGCAAATCTCGAGGAGGATAGCCCGAGCCTCATCAACAGAAACTGACAAAACCTTGGAGAAGTCTAGCGGATCAAGAAGTAATCCTCCCCTTCTTGTGGGATCCAGTGAGGAGGAATGATAGCTAAGGGGATGGGGACTGGTTAAAGAGAAAGGACACCTCGGTCAGGGGACGTAGGGAGGGTTGAGATTAACAAGGGTGAATTTGATCGTTGATGAGCTGAAAGCTGGACGTTACAGGGCACAATTAAATTCCAATTAGAAGCAATTAGAGCCCTCGGGGAACAGTCAGACAAACCCGGGAGGGCAACCTGAAGGGGTAGGACCCAAGACCCGGACGGTTCCAGAAGGACCCTGAGAAAGTGACAATGGGTCAAGTGGAAGTGACGACGTTTCGGTTTGGGTCCCTGTTCACGAGTTCGAAGGGACGGTTCGGGGTTTAGTGCTAGGGGCTCATGGTTCAAGGTCTAGGGTTTAGGGTTCAGGGATTAGTGTTCAGGGTTCAGGGTTCAGGCTTCAAGGTTCAGGGTTTAGGGTTGAGGTTTTATGGGTTAGCTGTCAGGTTTCCGGGTTTAGTGTGAATGTCTCAGGGTGTAGGGTCTATGGTTTAGGGGTCATGGGGTTAGGGGATCATGGTCTAGATTTTGGGTTTCAGGTGTTGCGGTTTAGTTTTCAGTATGGAGTTCCTAGGGATTAGCTTCAGGTTCTGGAGGATTCACGGCCTTAGCTTTCAGTCGGTCAGCTCCCACGGTTAGGTTTTAGCTTTCGTGGTCCTGGTTTAAGAGTCAGGGATGAGGCTTTATGGCTTAGGGATTAGTTGTAGATTTTAGGTTTCATGGGGTAGTGTATAGAGATCAGGTCTAGGGTCCAGTCGGTTGGAGCCTGTTTCAGCCTTTAAGCGTTATGGGTCAATCTTTAGGGGGTGGGTTTGCTGCTAGCTTCACAGTTTAGGGGCTCTGCGGTTAGGTTCAGGTTCCATCTTCTAGTTGTTATTTTAGGGTTATTGTTCAGAGGTTAGTCTCATGCTTCATGTTCTAGTCTTACGTTCCTGGCTCAGGGTTTAGTGTTTACTGTTTCCTTTATGTATCACCGTTTAGGGGTCAGCTGTTAGGGTTTATGTCTGGCTCTATGTTTCAGACTTTAGCATCAAGTTTCTGGGGGTAGGGATGTGAGTTATGTTTAGTGTTCATGGTGTTCTCTCTACGGGGGACTGTTCAGGGGTTAGGGGGGTTGTTTAGTTTTCAAGATCTAGGTTTCCGGGATCAGTTGTTCAGGGTCCAGGGATC